TTCGCTCACTTCTCTTTAATTTATTTATTCACGTTCAAAACTGTAACTAGAATATTTTATTCAACGCCATGAACAATCGTTACGCAAGTTTCTTTACGGTCTCATCACCCCGGTCATTGTAATATAATTCTCATAGGCTGTTCACGGCATTTACATAAAACCAATCTAAAGGGTAAAGAGAAAAACGAGGGTTGCGCATTTCCGTTCCAGTAGAATCGAGTATCGGGAATTGATTTGCTCCGTAAAATTGTCCTATGACGTTCCTGCGCTTTTTCTCTCGTCCCTTTGTATATTGTTCGTTTTATTTATAAGCATCTCGTACACTTTGATTTGAATATTTTTGCGCGCATTAAACCATGCGTCCTCCATTTGTTCATTCGTACCACGGCTCTCGCCACGGTGCGTTTGTACAATGTGTGCGTTATACAATATTGGAAATTATAGATATGCTGACATTCAATGCCGGCGTATAGAATGGTGCGAACATTCGTATAAAATGTATAGAATTTCTTTCGTCGCGTCGCCTGCGCGCGAGAAAATCGGAGTAACATCGAACGTCAGAATGATCGTCTTACAGACTCGTTCAACGAATTAATTAATAATATGAAAAAATGATACGTTAAATTGCTCGTAGGTACAGTTGCCGAATTTCCAACGATCTTCCCGAGAAATTGGCATCTGAATTAATTACTAAAATTATCCAAGGCCCCCGAGTACACAATTAAGTTCTCGAATCTCGGAGGGGCCATTCGATCCGCGATAATTACGTTCGCCGGATGGTAATTAGAGTACGTCTTTCATTTCGAGCTTTGTCTCCGGCGTCTGTTCGAAAGTGGTTAGAAACAACGTTGAGTGTGCTCGCCATTTTTTCTCTCACTCGTGTCCGCCTCTTCTCTTGAGTTGAATGCACCGCAAATGGCATTCGCGGCTCGACTCCCCGTGTACGTTTTCGCGTCGCGATCGGATTCTCCGATTACGCGCTCCTTTCGTCTGGTATTCTTCAGCCCCCCCTTAATCTGTCCTCTCACACGTTAATTGGAAGATGATGAGGATTCAACGCACGAGGGACCTACTAGTTCTTGAATATGTAGGAGGCGTACATGGAATAGTTTGCACGATTTGACGAGGGTCGATTGTTTCGATAGGGCCGATAATTGCACCGGCAAACACGTTCAGCTCGCCGGAATGAATGAATGGGTGTGCCAAGGCAATTTGCCTGTGCAGCTTACGTCCGCGTAGCCACCGTTCGGAGCCGATTCTTTTTTCGAGACTGTATCAAAACGAAATCACGCGTTCCGTATCCGTTCTCTGAACGCTTTCGTTCTTACCATATGGCGTACAAAGCTCTAGCGGCTATTATAAGCTTCCGGTTGTGGCGTTTGTGAAGGTCCCCACACCGTGCGGCGGAGAAAATCAAGGGAGACCCATATGGCTTCCTTGTTGGTCGCCACTTCAAATTTCTCTTCACGAGAAGGGGGTCGTACCGGGCGTACCGAGAAGAATTATTCATAGAGGTTTCGAAGTCGCTCGCCTCGAGAATCGTTAGTCCTCTACGCGTGATTGCGACGATTTGTTCGAGAGGCTGGAAGAAATCTTGATAATTGGCGCCGAGTACACGGCTAATGGGCAATTTTCGCAGCGAGACCGTTCAGAGGGCATCGCACTATCGTTCTTCAGTCTGCTATCGTAGTTTTCATTCAGCTGTGCACACGCGTTTCCATACACATGCGAGCCGTGCACCGCGACACCGGCGTGTATTGGAATTATGATAACGAAAAGCGAACTGAACTGGTCGGCGACGCAATAACCATTTGACGCTTCCCTTCAATTTGTGCAGGAAGGAAGTTGATAGAGGAACGTTGCGCTGCATAACAATTTATGTGCGTACGGCTCGCGTCTCGACGGTTTTCTATCCTCGTCCAAAATATCGTCCAGACTTCGAATAATGAGGAAATTTTTCAAACAGTTTTCCAATTGCTTTTAATCGTCGAAACCCGATCTTGTTGCTTTCGATAAGAAGCGACGTTAAGGATGTATTGGCTATACAGTCAATCCCAAAAGTTTATGTGCCTTAGAAAAACGCATTTCCTATAATTAAAAAGAAATCAGACGTCGGAAGAATAATGCTAATAATAAATAGCTACGTGCTAAAAAGTATAGAAGGAAATATCCAATTAAGTATTGACGCTGACGAAAATTTTTTTTTCTTCAAAATATCGAAAATTTTTAATCAAGAATAGTGC